TTAATGAAAAAGTGAGGAAATTCACGTGAAGCATGACTCAGGTAGTTTGAACCGATAATAGAGGGTGAACTCGAGGAAGATATAACACAAGCATGACTCAAGGCATGACACACAATCCGAGCCTTCGATATGCAGTTGATATCCATTTTTTGATGAATTTTGTTAACTCGATCGCGACCTCTGTTATCGCGATCGACTCGGAGATGAGGCAATAAGGCTTTGCCGGTGATAGAGATACCAGTAGTAGGAGCAGTAACAGTAACAGTAGTAACAGTAGTGGCTCCTGCAGCGATCGATTGATCGTAATAGATAAAAGGATCCTCATTGAGACTACGATCATCAATAGGAAAGAGAGGAGGATTGCTTTCGAGCGAATCCAAGATAATAGGGTCCTCATCGCGATTTCGATCCACGACAGGATAAAGAACAAGGGGATTGCTTACGAGCGAATCCAGCAGGTTGACAAGGGGATTGCTTGCGAGCGAATCCAAGGGAATTAAGTTGCAATAAGGGGAAGGACTACCGATGAAGATAATGAGAGGAAACTCAAGACTCTGCATCAAGGGATAGCTCATTCCATTGACAACCATAAGGGATAGACATATAAGAATAAGAATGAGTAACATCTCATAACCTCGCATGCTACCATGCGACAATACCATTGTGGATTGTTTAATCTAACGATCTAAGAGATGTAAAGTTTGTATTTCCAAATAAGTGAGCAGTTATTGATTATTTTCTAGAATAAGCCTGCTAAGTGTAAAGCTGTAAAGCTGAATTGTAAGCTGTATCCCGTCGCAGGGGAAAACCCGCCTTGTCCGCGAGTGGAAGGATGGATATCAATCAGGTATTGCTTCTTGGTCTGCTTGAAATTGTGGTCGACTTTGGCTGCTGTCCACTTGTCTACCAGGACTTGACCTTGAGCGGTGGCTTTGAATTCCGTGTGGTTGGAGTCGGGATTCCCGTGGATGTACTTCAGCGAGATCCCAGTGTCAGGATGCTGCTGTGTCCACTTTGGACCTCGTCGAGCTCTTTGTTGTGTCGGCATAATGGAAATTGTTGTGGAAGCTCAAAACGAAACTGCTTATCCATCGCCATTGTTGCTCTCAGGTTTTGAAGAAAGCGCATCGCACATCATTGTCGGTTGTGTTGTCAGTTGGTGTGTGGTTGATTTTTTCGTTTTGTGTGGTGCTTTATGTAAAGTCGCCGGAATTGTATAAGTGTCAGCGCGCACTTCGAATCTTGCTTTCCGGTTGTTTTCTCTTGGATTGGATTGAATTGCATTGGATTGGATTGGATTGGATTGGATTGGATTGAATTATCATTTACTATACAAAAAACAGTACTATTTTGTATCCAATCCAATCCAATTCAATCCAATCCAATCCAATCGAATTCAGTTTCTTGCCAAAATGCGAATTTTGCCTTTCAACTGACGTTTCCAGGAGCCAGCCCAGCCCAGTTGCGCGATACTCAATTTTTTTACACGGCATTCCTGGAAACTTGACAATAAACCCATTTTGGCAGTTGAATCGCTATTCCCGTCTAAGAAAAAGAATCGGAACGCAGAGATACTCCAATTCACCGCCAGCCCTAACAAAGAAAATGCCAATCCGACCCAAAGATATAAGGGGTACATCCCAATCCTAAGTCAAAATGTATGGGTTTCCCCTTTGGCCAGGATGTGTTTCTGAGCAAGTTGCGTGTGGAAAGGGTTCTGGAGCCTTTTCCGCAGCCTTTTCACATGCAATTCAACGTCAGTTCGGAACGCAACCAATCCAGCTGAATCAATCCAGCTGGCTCGCTATTGACTACTAGCCAGTGCTAGCCATCCATTTATCGAAGCTGCTCTCTAGCTAGATACACAAACAAGAATTATGCCACAATGGGGCTCTAGCGGCGCTGCTGGTGGTACGTAAGGAATCGTTGGGTCAGTTGTGGCCATGGATAGCAGGCTCGAGCTTTGGGGGAATGGTGTCATGCTTTGGAGACTGTTTTGCTCATTCTTCCAGTCTCTTCTCTCTTCTCCTCCAGGATGCCGAATCATTTGCCTCCAAATCCCAACCGCATAGATGCTGCCTACTTTTCCAGGCTTGGGAAAGTCTATCTCAGCCGCCATGCTGATTCAAAGGAAGGCGTTGACTTCCAGAGAGCCTTTCGAGAGATGTTTGGCTGTTCCCCTCGAGTTTGTGTTACTTTGTGGAGGTATTGTCTGGCTCGGTGAATCCATCGTGGTGCTGATCCGAAGCATATTCTTTGGGCGCTTATGTTTCTACAACTCTACACAAAGAAGATTCCTCTTTCTGTGATTGCTGGCTGTTCTCCTCCAACCTACACCAAATGGATTTAGCGCTACATTCCTTCCATCAGCGCCCTGCGTCCCAAAGTGGTAAGTCTTCCAGCATGTTTTGTTCTTGCCATTGGATTCAATTCATTATTCTAACCATGACGTAGATCAAATGGTCCAACAGGTTCCGAACCGGTCGATTCGGCAATCGCAATCGCTCCTGCAAGGTCACCGTGGATGGGACTGATTGCCCCATAAACCAACCAATACCCTTCTGCAAGAGTTGGTTCAGCCACAAGTTTGAGGGTCCTGGTCTCCGGTATGAAGTGGGAGTGTGCATTCAAACTGGCGACATTGTGTGGATCAATGGCCCCTTCTGGTGTGGCTCTTGGCCTGATTTGAAGATCTTCAAGCGCAATCTTGTGCATCAGCTGGCCGCCCATGAGTTTGTGGAGGCCGACGGCGGCTACCTGCACCCACGCATCCGCACACCTGACAGGTTTGTGTCATGGTCGGACAAGCGGGCCAAGGATGATGCCCGCCACCGGCATGAGGGCACCAACTCAATGCTGAAGAGCTTTGGCGTCCTGAACCAGAAGTTCAGGCACGACCTCATGCTCCACAAGCATTGTTTTGGTGCCTGTGCTGTCATCACCCAGCTTGGGATTGATGAGGGCAGCATCAGCCCTTGGCAGGTTAGGTATTGAGGGCTGTTGCCCAGCCATGGTTCGGTGCAACCATGGCCTTGGTCGTTGTTGCCAACTGCGATCAATGACGTCCTGTCATTTGTGTGCTGGTCCTGTAGCGCATCTGCTCTACTTGGTTTGCTCACAAATGGCTGGACGTCATTGATCTCTGTTGGCAAGCAACAGGTAAAAACTATAGATCTATCTATTTCAATGTCATTCTAGCCAGCTCTAACCAATGCAATCTAGCGCCATGGGCAAGTTTGCCCATCCCCCTGTGGACTTCAGAGTACTGTTAAAAGCATTGAACTGGCACAGAATCTCGGGCATCTAAATGACTCATATCTTTCTGACGTGTTGTGCTTCCTTTAATCCTAGATTTCTGTCTTGTTGTCTTTCTTGGTCATAGGAACGCTGAAAGTGAAGAGAGATTTAAATGAACTGTAGTGGTCATTGATTCTACTTGGGCAATTCGGACACGCATTCGCGCTTGTAGCCCCACCAAAAGCTCCCTACTGGTGCAGCGACTCTGACAGCTCAGCACGGAACAGTTCCCAAATCTCAGTGGCGGTGAGTCCGGGTTGGTTGATACCACTGAAGAACGAACTGAGAAGAGCAGCCTGAAAAGTTGGATCCCAGAACCAAAGCTCATAAAATTAATCGCATCAGCTAAAGTTGAAACGAACCCGCAAAGCCCAGCATCAAAGAATAGCTATCTAAGCATTCATTCAAATTTTTTAAGAATTAAAAAGCGACCATGAGCAACCTTCTTCCTCTGTTGAGCAACTTGGGCCGCAAGGACCAACTAAAAACTAAAGATGTCATGATTGATGCTACCAATATGACAGCTCGATCAGGCAAGTCCCGCATCTCGGGTAGCTCAGGAGCTCGCTTTGGTCGCAGCAAGACCACTCCAGTGGAACCTAGCAGTAGACGCGCTGTTAGGCATGCTGGTGCTGGTGCTGCCAGTGGTGGTGACAATGAGAAGCTCAGGCGAACGGGTACATCTGCTTCAACTGGTTCCAGCCGCAGCCGCGTCAAGAGATCCGACCGTACCGGTACCGTCCGTAGTGGTACCACTAGTAACCAAAAGGTACGACGCAGCAAATCGACTGGTCAAGACGATCAGCAAGTTGCTGTTGCCCCAGTAGGCATCAGACGGTTGGGAACTGGATGCATCAAGCAACCTGCTCCGACTGCTGCATAACTAAGCCTGCACACTCTTTCTGGCAAGCAAAAACAAATTCTTTCTTGTTTTTAGACCGACCCTATTTCTTGGGGACACTGGCGTCTTTTTATTAGAGCTTTTAAAAAAACTTCCATGCTTCTGCTGTAAATTAAATCTTCCATTCTAACCTAACTTGACTACTGGAATCGAATCATCGGGTTAAAATAATTATTAGCATAGATTGATCAGATACTAGCACTAGCTAGCTCTGAGTGGCAGAGGAGATAGGTGGGTAGCGTTGACAAGCTATTTGGTTACCGACCGAATTCGAAGGACCCAGACAGTTAGCCAAGGATCCCCTTCCCTCCTACGATATATATTTGCTTTGACAGCTCTGCTGCTTGGTACGGTACGAGCAGACGGAAGGGCAGACACTGCCTGCAGGAAAAGGACATCATGAGCGAGAAGCGAGGAGCTCTGTTCGTCACTTTCTTTTTCGGACGTTTGCTTGTTTTACAGTTTTATTGACAGTGTCAATGGTTCCCGCCAGTTTCTTGACATCTCATTCACATGTTGAAGTAAACCATTCGTCAACTGCCAGACTTAACATGGTCCTTCTCTGCCAGTTCAGCTAAGTCAAAAAATTAATTTACTACGAGTACAGTAGTAATCAATAAAACAATTTTAGAAGTGATTGATGGACTACTCGTATTCACGGAAGAGGTGTCAAGTTGCCAAAATCACCTCACCCGATCCAGAGCCTAAAATTCACAATTTTCTCACCACAACAAAAGCAACAACATCCAGAAGTACCGGTACATCGTTGTGCTAGCTAGTAGTAGCCAAGGCAAAAAGTAAGTCAAGATGAGCAGCTTTCTTCCAATGCTTGGTTTCTTGTCCCGCAAGGACGTCCCTCAAGGCATGGTTGACAAGTCCATGGCTATGGGTCTCCGCAGCAGTACTACCAGCACCAACGCCAAGGGCAAAAAGAAGTCTTCCAAGAGCAGCAGCAGTAGAAGACAGCGAAGCGGGTGTGGGAGTGACCGTCTTCGAATGAGTGACCAATCTACAAGATCTAGAGTCAAGCGATCCAATCGTCAAAACAGTCTTAGACTCTCCACCAATAGCAATACCACCAGCAACAGCCACACCAACACCAACAATGATAGCTTTGGCGCTTCCTGCTCTGATGCCCCTTTCGTGCGCACACTATCCCTCGCCTCGGGGCAGCACAAGGGAGTCCATTGAGTAACGAGTGACTCGACTCAGTCCAGTCATGCTCAAGACTATCCAATCTTGAACGAAACCCAGACACGTGACAACACGTGACGAGGACAACCTTACCCACTTGCAATTGACAACGTTACCGTACCAACTTGACGCTGGACTGCAGTCTGCAGACGAGGGCACACTTCATTCAGCCGAAAGTACGGCATTGAATGCTCCAATCGCCTACAGAAGCCTTCTATCTTGCAACTGCTGGCTGATGATATCATCCCCCCTCACCGTACCGGTACCAAACGGCCGGCCATCCCTGGCGGTAGAACAAAATAGCCTACTAGTAATATACTGTAATACATTATAGAGCAAAGCAATCTAAGCAACTTTCTTTCAAATGGCTGTAGCTATGGATGCCGATGGCGCAACCTTTGGACTTCCAACAGCACCAGCCAACTCAATGATCAATGAGTTTCATCGGTAACAGTAGACTTGAGTTGATGTACAGAACCGCTTTGGCTCTATGTGAGTGGCAGTCGGTTCTTTGTCTTTACTGCCAGGGCCAGGACAAGGCCCACCATCTACACCAGCTAAACAGGGGGGCGGGATTGCTGGACATCTCTACAAAAGGAATCATACTCTAAGAATTCAGCTCGTGGCTTCCAGATTCAGGCATGACACGACCAGCTGAAAGAATGCCCAGTTGCTGAGGCAGGACACATAGCTTGTACTATGTAGCACTGCCTGCCTGCAACTGGCGAGGTTTCTCTCTTTTTCAGCTATTAATAGCCTACAAGGCCATTGGGAAACAGAGTGCTCAAATGCTGAAATGAACACTCCTTGACGTTACTCGCTTGCTTACATAATGCTGGACACTGGTCACGTAGTCAAATGTATTCTATAGATGGTATGCTTAATAATAAAATTGATAGAGCGCCCGCATCCGTGGAGACTCGGAACAAATGGTTGTCAATCACAGAATGGTACCATATCAGCAACATGATCTGAGCCGTGCAATGGCTGCTTCCACACAGCCATGCAGTTCCATAGTCTATGCATTGTTTATGAATTGTTTATGCTGCTCTTGGTGTGGACACTGCAACCCTGCATTCATCTTCTGAGTGGCAGTCATAAAGGTCAACCAGCTTCTTGTTAGCATTAGCATGAGTGGGCATTGTCTGGATCAACTCAAAGAAGTTTTGTGCTGCTTGCTGGTCAGCACTAGCCTGGTGTTCCAGCGCAATGAGCATGTCTTCTGGGTGCATTTGGCTCAGTATGGAGGACGCTTTCTCCCGCTTTCGTTCACGTCTCTCACTTCTGGAGGAAGTTCGAGATGAGCTGTTGCGCTTGGGTGGTTTTCGCAGATCCTGTTGTGCGGATGCAGTTTGCTTGGATGGAGCCTTTGGATTGGCGTTGGTAGCATTGGTACTAGCATTGGTAGCATTGGTCTTGCAGCAGCGCTTGAATGGGAGGTGCATCTTGATTTGTTCTTGTGTGAAGTAATGAGTTGGTGGATGTTCTGGTTTTCCTGGTTTCGCAGCTTGCTTCAGTTGAGGAGGTGATTGCTTGCTTGTACTGTTGTTTTGGAAGGGAATTGTGAGCACAAGGATCACGACACTTTCTTCCCAGCCAAAATGTACATGTACTCAGTACCGGGTAGTTGGCAAACCACTACTGCCCCTTCTGTACAAGCTATGTAGCTAGCTGGAAAATATTTAATGCTGTGATACGGAAGTTTGGCGGTTATGCACGGCTACTATTGTAGACTATACTAGTACACTACCGGTAGTCTAGCTAGTTCCCTTCCTTCGATCCCTGTGATTATTTGGTCGTCTGGACCTACCGTACTGGAAAGAGGATACCTCCGCTACACGGATACTACCAGTACTATTAATAGCCAGCTACATAAGCGTACAATAGTAGACCTACTGGCCACGGAAGCAACAAAGATATGAAAATTGTGTGTCAGTGAACTGAGGTTTATGGTTCTCTTCCAGCTGAACGGATAGTTTCCGAGCTTTTCAGGGTGGTTCTTTCTTCACTTGCCGGAGCCTTTGGTGGATGAGGCAGGTCCGATTAGCCAATTAGCCAACAATCAGCAAGAGTTGCTTGCTTGCCAGAGGTGGCTGCGGCTACTATGAGTTTCCTTGAAATACTCCGGAGTACTGAGTACATAGTATGTATGTTGTACGTTGTATGTACTACATGTAGTAGTTGGACTGTTCATTGGTGCAATCAACGAGCATGAGATCAACGTGGATTGCCGAAGACTGATCTGGAGCTTCGACCCATGGAATTTGTGGTGCAGGTCCCCGTGGTACCGGTATGTCCAGCTGTCTAGTAGCTACAGTAGTATCGGTGGATACCGTACATCATGACATTGTAGCTGACTTTGCATGTTTCGTAAATCAAACTTTGATGTCTTGGTTTCCGCGTGAGTTTCCAAGGGGTATTACAGCTGTACTTGCTAGCTAGTACGGTTACTGCAGCTGTCAGTTATCAGATTCTTAGAAGAAGCAAGGATAGATGAGCTGACAGATGAGAGTCCGGGTTTGCTCAGTGGCCAGCTATGCTAGCTAGATGTGGATTCGTCCCCTTTGCGCAATTCCACAGCCAGTATCTAGACTCTAGACTACTGGAGTAACTGCTTCTTGCTTGTTAGGGAATTTTACGGCTCCATGTCTTGGCTACTATGGCTGCCTACTGCCTATTGAGCAACATGCCATGACATGGCGACATCATACAGGTTCTTCAGGTATGCATACTGGTACATGGGACAGCAGGTAATCTTTGCTGGTCGCCTAGAAGGTGGACGGCGGTCTGGTTCTGCTCTTCCAGCCAACCTCCTCAGGCTGAGCCAGCCAGGCAGGTCAAGTCGGGTTAGTCCTACGGTGGCTGACTGCATTCAAGTTGTTGGCAAGTGGCTGATATCTGCCATACTAGTACATCTACTGGCTGAAAGGAGCTACTAGTAGTTAAGTCGCGGCAACAACCTGGCTGTTTGGCAAGTGACGCCGAGAAGGACGCCTATATACCGGTACTAAACACCTCTTGAAACACATCTTGCTTCGCGTGTGCCCACTTGACGCACTTGCCTCGATTACAGAATCTGATGGCTGCCTAGCTAGTAGATAGATGTACTAGTACTAGCTCGTAGAAGTCTTTGATGTGTTCTTGTTTTATTTTAATTCTTATGCATCTTCTAAAATACAGTCAGTCTTGATCAGTCTTGATCTGATCAGATCAGATCCAGTTTTCTAGCTTCCTAGCTAGCTTTGCCTATTCTTCAATAGTTCAAAGATCTCTGCTGCCTTATCTTCTCCTCCAGTCATACTGGCTTGTGCTTCCATCATGGCAATAATGTCTGAAGGGTCCAGGTTACCTTTTTTAATCGACTCTCGCTCCGCACGGGAGCAACGAGAAGCAGTACTGCTGGTAGAAGAGCGCAGAGATCCGCCCATGGCGGAAGAACGCCGCGACGAAGTTCCCATGGACTGAGAATGAGAATGAGAATGAGACCCAGTGCTTGTGCTCATGTCCATGCCACTGCGGCCACTGCCACTGGTAGTGCTAGTAGAGCAACGGCGAGGACCACGGGATCTGGGTTTGGGCGAAACTGCATTCTCGGTAGACTTGGAGCGCTTGGGGCCGAATTTCAGAAATGCCATGGTGGTGAATCTACTTGTTAGTGAAAGAGAAGGTAAAGGCTGCTGTTGCTTCTTTGGATTTGTTTCAAGTTGCGAAGAGTTGAAAATTGTGAGCAAAACTGAAGCCGAAGTTAAATTCGATCTTGAGCCTGCCTTCCGAGAAATCCACAAAACTCTTATATTGTACGGGGAGATACATGGGATCTGTAGCAATGACATTTCAACAGAGTCACGGTCACACTATAGTCATTTCGAGTCCATCCCACAGGCATTTCTGATCAGAAACTTCCCTTGTCTCAATAAATCTATCGTACCAGCAGCTTTCCAAGGCGACACTTAATTCAGAAACACTGGAACATTGATGAACAGAATTAACGATCTTTTCCTCGCTGGTTGGGGTGCTCCATCCACCAAGATTCTTTATTTAACAGTTCGTTCTTTTGTGCGTTATTCTACCGATTAAAAACACAATTCTTCACCTTTCTTCTCAAAAAGAAAACGGACTTTTTGAGCTTGCTTCCCTCACAAAACACGGAACAGAACCAATTGGAATGATGCTCATGTCAACACAGCATCACGATGTACCGGTATGTGCCGGCACATGAGAAGGTACCGGTGGTACCAGTACTCACCAATGAGCCTATGATGAGCCCAGACAGAAGAGAGGAGAGAGCCGAGGCTTGGTCTTGGCGTCACCGGGCTCCTTGCCCATCCAAACATCCAAACCCAATTGACCGGTACATGTAACAACCTACTACATACATGTATTGATACTAGCTAGTAGAATACCGAGAGAGAGTCTCGCGAGCACTCCAGTAAACGAACGCTTCCATTTTCGAGGGCACAAGCAACAAAGAAGGTGCAATCTGGCTGATTCGATTCGATTCTTTTAGTTACTCTGGTAGCTATTTTGAAATAGATTAATAGCTAGTACCAGTGCATGTTTGCCCTGCACTGAACAGCTACATGTACTGAACCTGGACGCTACAGTAATGCCTCGCAAATACAGCGTTTCTACTCGTAAAACACGCACAAGTCTGACCAAACCAAGCAAGACGTACGAGTACCGGTGGCCGGTGGCAGCACCACCACCAGCAAGCAGCGCATCCATGCCGACGGTTGGGTTTGTCCGTTCTAGCTATGCATACCGGTATGTCTATCGATAACGAAGTCCTCTTGTCCAAGATCATACAACTCTCATCATCAGCCCAGCCGGCCACCAGGGCACTCTGGTAGATAGCTACCAAAGTTGCTTGCTTGCGGTTTCTGTGGGGTTTCTCAACACGTGCCAGTGGTGATTCGACTTTGCAATTGGAAGGTTGATAGAGTCCATTATCAATCGAATCAAGCCGCACGTACTAATAGCTCCTGACTGCCACTGTAGCTACAGCCAGTGCAAACTACATGGAGCTAGAGCACCTACTACTAGTACGGGTATCTTAGCTCTCGGTCAGTCTCCTGCTCCATCGCTGTCCGGCGGAGAAACTGGGCAGATGCAGGCTCGCTCTGTCCTGAACTTTGGTTGCATGCTGAGGAGTGAAGTCGAGTTAATTAATGACTGACTGAGTCAGCTGTCACTCGCGAAGTCACCAAACAATTTAACTATGTATCTGCAGGCTGAAACATCCTGTTGCCATGTCCCCTCTCATGACTATTACTCTGGGCTTCCTGCGTATCCAGGAGAAAGCTCTGACTACTTCGTTGCTCTAGCTAGACGCAACTAGATGGTAAAAATCCCATCGTCGTGTTGTCTTCGTCGGTGCTTCAGGAGCCACTGCACCGGTGCGAGGCCCTAGGATTCAATCATTCGAGTACATGGTATTCAGGCCATGGCAGGGAGAAAGAATCAAACAAACTATTGAGTACGTAGTCAAATTTCAAACGCTCTCGTGGCTACCGGTACCGGTACTCTACTGAGCAACTCGAACTATCGTAGTCCGTTCTCCAAAGGCCACAAACAGGCACGAAGTCAAAAGTGCGACAGAGGCGCCCCCAATTAATTGCAACCGCCTCCAAGCGACTGGACTGGCTTTTCGAGCAGTACTCGTAGTGTTTCCAAATGATACCCCAATGCAACCGCCTCCAAGCGACGCTCAAGACGTCATATACTCACGACCTGAGGCCTAGTTTGGAGCTTCCAGAGTCTTGCTCCTTTTGTAGCCACAATAGCATCTGCAAGAAGATTGTCCATCTGGAATTTGATTGCCTTCTCGTTGGAATAGGCGAAGCTGCAACTGCTCTAAGGGTGAATGTCAGGACTCGATGGTGGCTTGTGCAACATCACCGGGGTGGCTCGGTAGACATCCGGTAGGAGAGAAACGGGCGCCAAGCAATTGGTGGCTCACAACAACGTACGTTGTCTCAAAGAGCTACCAGTACCCGACTTCAGCCAACCCAGGGTGGCCCAATCACCGAATTTTGAAGAGAACAGGGGCCTCGCGCAAACAGGTCGCATCCGTCCAAACAAAGTAAAGCAACGAGTATACAGTGCACTTCATGAACGGGCTCGAAATCACCCGTGTCGCAGTGAGGGGAGTCACATCCAAAAGCTTCAAAGTGGTATACCTGGCACTAGCGAGTCTCCGTCGTACCGTAGCCCCCAAGCAAACATTGGTTCTATTGGCGAACGTACGTAAGTAAATACCGAACCGTCTCGAGACAAGTGAATCAGTCTGAATTTCTATACACAATTGATAGATCTAGTGGTATGGTGCTGATTTGTGTGGCCCCCTCGAGAAAGCAAGAGCCTATTGTGTGGGCGGATAGACACACGGTAGGAACATACATACGTGTACCACCAATACCGGTAGTACTTCGGCTTCACGACGGATCGAGCGAATGATTCTGTTTGGCAAAACCTCTGATGAGTCTAACTAGCTAGAACCTGCCGGGGAAACAGGAACCTGGCGTTGCTGCTGCATGTACCGGTATGTGGAAAGAATCAACATTCATGTAATATACTTGTGGGTTACCAGTACCGTAGTCCGTTGGTAGAACCAGACACGGACAATGTAAAATGCAGCCATGAACGCAACCATGGGCGTGCAGCGGATGCTGGTCGGCTCTTCTGGAGGGGAATGCCTGAAAATAATAAGGTAATAATATAATCCTTTTTAGAGAAGTAGATGAAGCCTATGGCTACAGTTGCAAGACCAAAGAAAGAAATCGTATGTCTACACACTCTTTTTGGGTGCTATGGCCTTGCTTCTATCCTGGCCATGAGCAGTTGCTGGATCCAAATAGTAGTTAGTGAGGAGTGGCAATAGCAGCCATGTGATACTGATGGTAGTATCAAAGACCAAGTGACCTCCCAGAGGAGCCAAGATTGTTTGACAGGCCATGCACTCCATGACTCCAACGGCCAATATGGGGAACTGAAGTAGGGGATATACAGGATATGCAGGAGTTTGTTTGTTCCTTGTATTGAGGGACAACATGTGAAGGGCTGAAGTCAAGTAGATGATGGCTTGCAGGTATACGAAATTCATTGTCGGAGGCACCTGCAGCAAGGTCAATCCTGCAGTTCCCACAATTGCTGTGAGCAGTATGCGTGGAAAGGATGCCAATGCCAGTGTTCCTGTGAAGATTCCACTCAAACCTGCGATAGTGACTGCGTGGGAAATGATACTTTGTGTGATGCGGCGGTTGGACCATGTCAAGTCCCAACCGGTTGCGTCCATGGTTCCGTAGTAGAAATGACCTAGACCATGAAAGAATACCCCTTGAGAGGCTCCTGCCAAGAGCGCCCTTTGCAGGTCAGGTTCCATTGCCACTGCAGCATTGTAATACATACGGTAATACGAGGCAGCCAGCGCCAGACTCATGAGAGTATCCGAATAAAACGACAAGATATGAGAATTCCAGATTTTGGAGTCTGGACTGGAAACACAAAATCCGTTGTCAAGCCAACTCTGATCAAAGAATGACTCATCAGGGAATCGGTAGAGCATGCAATAGGAAACCACGGCAGTGATCACAAACAGCAACGTGTTGCAAACGTCTCCCAACACCTCAAACTTCCTATACGTGGACTCCATCATAATGATAGCTAGATACATATAAATAAATAAATAAATAAATAAATAAATACATATACAGTCGTAGATAGACAGCCGACAATGCAGCTTTCGTCTTCGCGTCTATGGACATCGCGTCTTTGACTTTCAGGTTCACGCGCTTCTTGAAAAAAGGTTGTTCCGGCAAAGATTCTGGTTGGGGTTGGGGACTGATATTCCACGTCGTACTTCCACGATGCATTGCAAGACAACTCCTCCGCAAAGCAACTTGTCCATGGCTGCTGCAGGCAGAAAGAAAGATTGAATTGACTCTTCGAGAAACAGCACGGGGGTGCAATGAGTAGCAAAGCCTCACAATTTTTTTAAAAGGAAGTACAGGTACGTGTAGTATCTCCATGTACTTCCTGTTCCGTTGCTGCAAGTTACGGGCATAGCTATCGGCCCAGCTTGTTGCAGGTTGACGCATCGGGATAGATAAGAAGATACGGTACCCAAGAGATTGGAATTGAATGATGAATCGCACGATTTCGCACAAGGTCTTGCTTCAAGTTGAAGATGCATGTACCGGACTACCGAACTGTCTGCCTGCCTCTTGGAGGTCGTGGGCGTTCTTTCTTGAAACGAAAGAAGCAAGAATCTTGTCCCTTTGCTTGCTTCCTTCATCTCTGCCTCCCGCTCAACTCCTCTTGGGCATGATAAGCTGCTTGGTCCGGATAATCTGCGGGGGGAACAGCCGCCTGTACCTGAGAACAATTATCGAGATAAACTATTGCTGGCCGCGCCATGGCAATCTGCTGGTAGCCTTCAAACGCGGATCAAGGCCTCTCCTACCGTATCACCACAAGTCGTCTTTTGCAGACCGAAATGACTATTAATATGAAAAAGAAAACATGCAATCTATCTGTTTCTGGTGTCTTGCTACTAGACTATGCCGCCACTTGGAGTCTTCGGGTGGATGCCATTCTCTTGGGTGAGTTTTGCCCGTTGCGACGGCTTTTGCTGCTTCCATTCATATTTGCACTGCTGCCATGGCTGTCATCCAAGTTCTTGCTGCCACTCTTGAGGAGTTGCAAGTAGGCATCCGCCGAGGCATCGTCTGCTCCTGCCATTTTCTCTAGCATGTCAATGACTTGGTGGCTATCTAGGCCAGTGCCACAACCCAGGTTCCTCATGGACTGTCCTCGCTTGGGCGAGAGAGACTTGGGGCCTCGCCTGCTATTACTACTACCGGTAGTACGCTTGGCCATGGGTGAGTGAGCTTCACCATTCCCACCACTGGAGCTTCCTGTGCTGCCCCGTAGCTTGCGCGAGGGAATACGAATACTATTGCAAACAGTACTACCGGTACTGGTATGCATAGTAGTGCCATCGAATGTCTTGTTTCTGCTGAGGGTCTTACGCCGACCACTGGTGCGGAGAGAGCCAACGGTAGCGTGGAGACCCTTACCTGCTCCGGTGCTTTCCAACGCGTCAAAGATCAGACTCTGAAGGTCATCAGTCTCATTGAACAAGCTAGATGTGCGGGGTGGGGAACTGCTCACTTGCATCTTGAGAATAAATAGGTCTAGATAGTCTAGGTAGATAGAAAGCGCTGTGGTTATATTGTAGCTTTGCAATTTGCAATTGTGAGCTTTTGGATTTTGTGAGCAACAGAACAGCTCGTACCGGTAGCAGGTAGCAGGAGCTAAGTCATCCATCCTCTTCTCCTTGCCGGTGGCATTCGAATCGAAGCATTGACTTCCGCCAATTATAGTCAGCTACTCGAGTACTCGAGTACTATCCAAAGCACTTAGACGCCAGATTCGAGCTGATCGTTCTGTGTAATCATTGTGCACAAAGACGACTTTGTCACTTAAGATAGATCGGAACGGCAACACTACCATCAAAACATCCATGACAAACGGGTCGCAATTCTCATCCCGCAATTCTACGGCTCTCTTGTAGCAAAGACATTCTATTCTCACTGGTATCAATGATCGAGTCGATGTCCAAGATTCTTCTAATTCGTGGTAGTCTCCTCCAAAGGCAGCCACCTAAGTATTTGACCGGTATGAAGATAGGATAGAGAAAGCGGTATTCTAAGTCTGGCACGACAAACTTAAAGTCCAGGACAACCTCACTTATCCCCGACATATACAGGTGCACAAGGGCATTAAACCATGGCCTTTTTCTGTTTCTGAATGAAGTCATTGCATTCAGGGTGTGGGACTCACATGAAATACACGCTGCGTGTACTCGATGTGAGTACGGGTACTGAGTACTGAGTATACTCAGTACCCATACTCACATGACCTCAGAAAATGTGAGTATTACTCAGTACCCGTACTCACATGACTCCAGATTTTGAGTACTTTTTGAGTCTTCGGTGAGTACTTCGAAGTGAGTACCAGTGAGTACTCGGTGAGTATTTGTGAGTACCAAGTGAGTATTTCGCCAACTCGCAGCCCCATAAATTTCCCAGTCCCATTTTCTCACTTTGGGCTTGATTTGCAGTTGATTGAAGCCACTGTTGTACATGGTTTGATGGAAAACTCAGCAATGGACAGAAGTTGACATACATTCCAAATGCGCCTTTTTTGCTACAAGAACAGTGATTCATCCAGAACTACAACAATGCTCAATGATGCAGGAAAGGAATGGGCTAAGAATAGGACCAAGGATCTCCTCAGCTAACTGCCAGCAGATGTGAAGAGGAGGATTATGACAGTGATATTGATGCCATGGTGGACTTTACAACAAGATTGATGAGCCCCCAGCCAGAACTAGAAAAACCTAGATAATTTCCCTAGTAATTGATTTATGAGTACTCAGTGAGTACTCTATAGTACCCACAAGTACCTGTACTCACATGATACCCGTACTCACTTGACCCTGGGAATTGTGAGTATTACCCAGTACCCATACTCACTTGACTTTGGAATTGTGAGTACTACTCAGTACCCATACTCACATGCTAAAACAGTGTGAGTACCACGCCCTGATTGCATTGAACGAGTGGCTATTATTTCCGAATGAAGTCATTGCAATGATAGCTATTGTGAGAGTCGCTCCTGCCTGCATTATTAAAATTAATGGAGGAATGGAGGGAGGAACAGAAAAAAGAACCCATTGAGGAATTCCGGACTTACCAATCCTGAGCTTGACTGAACCAGATCCTTGCACACACACATTTGTTAGAATGGAGGTAGGTGTGGTAAGGCGTATTTTAAAAAATGCTTTGTAGTAATCAAGAGCTGAAACAGTAGTATTGCTAGCCCAACTACCGTGATAATTCTGGCTGGCACAGGTGCCTCACTGTGTCATCACATAGTCTACAAAATTTAAACAGAAAATTATTGCCGAAAACAAACTTGTTATCAAGGGGCTGACTTTACCAGGTACTGTACTAGCTAGCTAGTATTTTAAAATAGTATACTTGGTGAGCTACTTGATGACCCATCTCAATCGTGCAACCAAATCTCGGCATCTCCGAGACACACAAGGTGACTTCAACATGCAACCCATAGCTGTACACTGTACACCCATCAAGCAATGACTGCATTACTGTTGCTCACGCGACACCTCACAGTGGTACTACTGAACAAAGCGAATATTTAATCAACATCCAGTCGTTTCGAGCTTCGTTGCAGCGTTGCGGGACCCTGCATGAATGGCTGGCACGAGAGAGCAGAGTCGAGTCGAGTCAAGATATCAGCACACAATAGATATCAGCACACAAAACCACAGCTCGATTGATTGAAAGCACTCGATTTGCATTCCTACTAACTTTACGTTTGACCCATTCCGCCATGGTTCGTTGTAATTTCAACTTGAAAGCTTTTTTTACTCGTAGTGTGGCTCTGGTTCTGCTCTTTGCCAATGTCACGCCGGTGATTGGAGTTGGTAGCGCGAAGGACTGTACGTTGAAATTACAAGACGGCTCCACTTACGTTGGTAATGACATCAACAATGTGAATGGGGTGACCTTTTCCACAGCGGGCACTCTTACTTGTGAAGCAGCGTCGCTATTTAGCCCTGGACCTTGCCAACGTGCCACAATCACTGACTGCCTCAGTGTGGTCTGCGAAAGCTACGCGTGCCTCAAAGCAGATATTTCCACAGACGTTGACGCTGTGCAATGCAAAGACACCACTGCCTGTGGTGAAACTACTCTTCCGGCTCTCTGCACCCTCACCTATTCAGACAGCTCAACATCTATTGGAGCGGCAATTGATGCAGGAATCGAAGGATCCGCTTCCAGATCGGGTATTCAATATGATGCCAGCACCAACTCGGTGACCTGCCAAACTGCATGTGATGGGTACATGTTGACTATATCTGGATGCTCAAGTGTGATTTCAACCAGTGTCTGTACTTTGTGGGCGCCAGATGGTACTGCCTATTTCGGATCGGCTCTTGCTAACCTTGACGATGTAGAGTTTGACGCAGATACTAATACTCTCACTTGCAAGCAAACACCAAATGGTCAGCATGGGCCCTGCCAATTTGATTCTCTCTACCAATCACCCACAATTTCTGGCTGCAGCCAGCTAATCTGTGAACATGTGGCTTGTCGTAGAGCAGCAATTACTGGGGTTCCTTTCATTGACTGCCACGGTGCTGGTGCTTGTCATAGTGCCAAGATGACAGAACTGCCAAATGATGCACTTGTGAATTGCAGAAATAACACTGCATGTGAACACACAGAGATCACTGCGGCAGACAGTTCCAGCGGTACTCGTGTTTTCTGTGAGGGTTTTCTTGCCTGCGGTGTTTTCGAATATGCCAATGGCGATACAATCTTCAACGTTGATTGTCTTGAATGCAGATCCTCCGATGCCTGTAAAACCAATGATTCCTGGAATTCTGATAGCTGCCTCTTCAATGGAGAGACCTGCCTGGATGGTCCCCAAGGAAGCTGCCCTTGCAGCTTGACCACGTGTACGGGAGAAACCTATTTGGAGGAGGACATCAATGCCCTTACTGATGTCTCCTACGATTCTAATGCTAACAGCATTCTTTGTGAAGGCCAAATGAATGGACTATGTCGGGGCGGAACAATCATGGCATGCCCTACAGTTGAGTGCAGCACGCAGGCCTGTAAGGGAACCACAGTCTGGAAACCGAATGACTTGGACTGTGTTGGCAGATGGGCTTGCAAAGAAGCTGTCCTCGTGGAACTCCCATCTGGTGCTACAGCCACCTGCAATGGGGACAGAGCATGTGTGGACGCCGTGTTCATGCACCTCAGAAGAAGGCTCAGGTGTCACTGTGGATTGCATTGACATTGAAAGCCAGGCGTGTCTACGAGCCACGCTTGATGACAGTGCATTGTAAGCTAGCTGGCTTGAGAGCTGGCTTGAGTTAGTGTTGTTGTGTTGTCTCAAAACTTGAATGGCTCTTGCTCTGGTATAAGTATGCTACTAGCCAGTAGGATAGCGTGTTGCATCCCAGGAGTAACTTTGCCTTTGTCACTGATTTTTATCGGAGCTTACTTATTTGTTGAGAAGTAATGATTGAAACCAAGAACTGTTCAATACTCATCAAAGTAGAAGAAACCTTAGACACATCAAACAGGTTGTTGCTTTGCTTCAGAAGAAAAATGTTGGACCCCTGATGCAGTAAACCAGCACATGACAGGAGACTTCACACATCAATGCCTCCCCAATCTCGGTGTCAAACCATGGAAGATAATCCTGAACTGATGGGGCCACCAATCCATGTAACTGCAGCTCTGCAGCTATATGAGCCGGCGCTGGCTATGCATACTAGTACTACTATCTGGTAGTAGTATGCGTTGACTTCTAAAGGTTTATTTGCAGAAGGATTGAATTCTTTCGCGTTTTCCAAGAATGGAGAACCTTCATCGGAGAGAACACAATCGAATGAGTGACAGTCAATCGCAAAGTCGACCTACACTGTAGAGATTCCACTTTTAGGTCAAGTGGAGCTACTAGACTATAGCAAGATCATGTCAATATGGGTCTATAGAGGTTGTAAACCTCCCCTCCAGACTAGGATCCAGGCAAAGGCAATGGCCCTGGTTATACCAGAGAGGCCTGCTGCATGTATCACAGACAGACCTACTTCATCCAATTTACCCGGGCGGGAGGGAAGGGAAAAAGGAAAATTGGTGTCGGCGGCTGCAACTCTGGTTCAGAAAAAGTGAACTGATTTGTAGCCGCCCGATTAGTAGTCCTTCTAGCTAGTCATCAACACCACATAGGCACACCACCTGTGCACCCGACACTTCGGTCCACCACCTCATCCTTGGATGAGTGGCTCTCCCGGATTCCTGTCCGTCAGTCTCCCTTATGGTCGGCTCCCTGTTAACTCATACTCTCCGTTCTGTAGAATCTCTTCTTCCCTGTCTGGGAAGGTGGGCGATTCCACTTTTAGGTCAAGTGGAGCTACTAACTATAGCAAGATCATGTAAATATGGGTCTATAGAGGTTGTAACCTCCCCTCCAACTAGGATCCAGCAAAGGCAATGGCCCTGGTTATACCAGAGAGGCCTGCTCATGTATCACAGACAGCCCTACTTCCATCCAATTTACCCTCGTCGGAGCCAGACCCTCTTGACTGACCATAGATATAATCCCCCGTGTCGGCGGGCCAAGCCGGCCAATTACGCCGCCGACTGCCAGGGGGGTGGTGAGCTTTGCGTGTTGCTGTTGTTGCTGCTGTTGTGTTTTGCTGCGTTTTTTATGTCCCGACCGGCTGTAGAGTTACCTCTTTCATCAAGGCAAGCCGGTGTCGGTCTTGTATACGTGATTTGATACCCGCCAGGAACCTTGGGGTCCAGCTTGATGTCCCAGAAGGCCATCTGCCAGGGCGGCTCCTTGGATGGTACCCTCCCGTCCGTTGTACTTGTCGTTGCGGGGATGATGATGCGGTCACCTTTCTTCCACTCGCGGTATGGGTTTTGACGAAGGCACGGTTCTTGGGGGGCTGAGCCGGTGTTGGTTGCTGCGGAGTGGTGTGGAGTGGGTGTTGCCGCCCGGAGTTTGGTCTTCCAGCTCTAACTTGGTCAACTCGTGCCGTGAGGAACCCAGGTCTGTCTTGCACGAGTGTACCGAGTCTGAGATTTCTTGGAGCCTGTTCGGTGAGTAGTTCTCAAGTCGTCACAGGTATCGTACTATGTCTCCTGAGTCGCTCATGGTGGACTAGGTGTTGGTGTTGTGGAGTTCGATTGCAGTTGTATTGGTCCGTTTTTAGTAAAGTGAGGACCGGCACTTTGTGTGACCGTAGGATTGATGTGTCTGGGGCCACCGGCCAGCGCGGTTGACGCGCGTGAGTGGTGTTCTTTTAAATAACATGGGATGCCCGTCGTGCCGTGTCAACGGTGGCCTCTTCGCTGAAATCCGCCATAAATAATTTTGTGGCCGATGTGAGCGGGCCAACCGAGAGTTCTTTCGATGTGTCCCAACGCGAACTCTCGGTGGGACATCGTGATGAGTAGTGGATCGATACTTTCATCGCTTGCCGTATCGAGTGGTAACTTTTCTGCTGTTGACACAAATGGATCCCATCGAAACCCTCTCCCAGTGATGTCGTCCTCGTAGCGAAAAACTTTCGTTGAGTGGAGATGATGGAGTTGATTGCGTAGAGCAAGCTTGGAACCATCGTGTAGTCTTCACGGTGGTGCT